TATATATATAATTATAATTATGTACCATGACATTATAATAACATTTTTTCACTTCGCTGCAACATACTTTTCTAACCCTACGGGATGGTACAATTAGTTAAATAATTTTATTCTTACTAATTAAGACATGTTTTTATATATATTTTTTTTATGTTTTATATCCTTTTACATGGACTTGCATTAGAAATAGAGCAGAGGATTCATAATTTTGCTGAAAATTTTAAAAGAGGCTGGTGATGGATTTTGACTTTATTTAAAATCATTTATTGTCTTAATTTAAATTTATGTATAGCAAAAAAATATTTTTATATTTTTTTAAAAAATAATTTTTAACTATCACTTGAGGATAACGTAAACCAAAGAAAAATTGACCAAGTTGAATGTGCATTTTAGTTAAAAAAAAAATTTATGATTTAATTTGTTAGTATACGTTTCCATGACTTTAAACTTCTGATCATTCGCTTTTGTATTGTTTTCCCTTATCTTTCTTGGCTATTTTAACTAAATTTCACTTGTTTCTGTCAACTTGCTTTATTAGATTTCTGCCTAATATTTGATTTCTCTTTCTGTCAACATACTAGTCAATTTATTTGTTGTACACTTTTAGTTAGATTTGCAAAAATAAGCCACTCCTTTCATTTAAATATCTTCTTAACAAAGTGCAATATATAGCTCAAAATTACTGCAAACTGAAGACCCATAAACTCCATCGATAATCAACAATAAAAAGTTTAAAAAAATCACTCCAAATATGGACATAATGACAAGACAATAATTCATGATATATATTATACAGAAATGAACAAGCAAGGAGACGAATCAAGGCAAACAAGCTTGCCTAGCTAATTAATAATTTAACAAAGCACGATTCAACATTAATTACTCAGACACACTATAGCATTAATTAACAACTCAATAATCCCCCGAAGTAAAAACAAGAACAATATATAATATACGAAAACACAACAGAGAAAATGAAACAACTATTGCCAAAGAAATGGTTACATAGGCACTCCATCAAACCATGATTTAAGTGCATATTTAAACATCTCCCTGACCTAATTTGAATCCTAGGGACATTGGAAACCAGTAGGAACAGTTTTCTGGCAAGCACTAAGGATCAAGCTGAGGGTGACAGGAACGTTCAAGTTGATTCCAAGCACATTGGCCTTAATCGCAGTGCAAAGGCAAAGTGCTGCTTCCAAATCAGCCAAACCTTTGATCAAGGCGCAACATTTGCTTGAAGGAGGAGTTCCAATAATAATGTTCACAAGCCCTAAGAGGTCAGCACAAGCACCTAGCTTTAAGGTGTCCTTGGGGCACTTTGATTGAGAAGGTGGTGAGGGTGAGGGTGAGGGTGTGGGCTTTGGGCTTGGTGGAGTGGGCTTTGGGCTTGGTGGGGTGGGCTTTGGGGTTGGTGGGGTGGGCTTTGGGCTTGGTGGGGTGGGCTTTGGGCTCGGTGGTGTGGGCTTTGGGGATGGTGGGCAATTAGCCCCAGTGAATGTGGAGTAAGAAAGGATAGAGAGGAGCAAAATGGTGGCAATGAGTTTGGTGTTGGAAGCCATGAAGGGAATTAAAAAAGTAACGATGTGTAGATATATTGTGTAGAATGGGAAGGGCATGCAGGGGGTGTGGAAGTATTTAAAGACAAATTGTAAGGTGCGTGTTAGGGAAATCTGATTGAGTGGAAGCGAGTGAAGAGTGTGATAACGCTTCCAGTTGGATGTTTTGTAAGGTTGTGAATGAGTGGGTTGTAGTATTTTGGTTCATTATGGATGCCTTTGATATTATCTTTCGTATTACCCTTTGTGATGAATTTAAGTTTGTAGGGAATGTTCTCTTCTAGAGTAAATAATTGTATGTGGACAATGTTTATTTTGTACCACACCACAGGCTCTCGTTACGCGGGAAGTGATAACATTTCCAAGGCTCAACGTCAGAAACGCCATAGAATCACAATTTCACATTGCTGACAAGGCCACCTTTATTTGGCTTCTTTGTGTGCATTGTGGAGGAAGTAAAAATAACCATAACTTTTACATTTTTGGGTACAAATTAAACATGATTTCAAAAGAGTACGTGATCTACTCTTTGTTCCCTTGCATGTGCACTATCACACCGCAATATTCCTTCATTCTCCACACCACGTTCAACTTGGTTATTTTCCTCCTTCAATCCCCATTCTCCTACTCCTACTTGCACACATCAATTACATAAAACACACACATATCTAAGTGTACACTATTATTTTATAAAAACCTTCGTTAACATTAATTTATCGTAGAATAGCATGGAGTGTTCCATGCAACATTTTCCTACATGAAATGAAATACAGCTTTCTACACACTCAACGGTTGAAAACAACTACACGTGGTGATCCTAGACTCTTTTGCATGCCTCAACCTTCGCTAACAGCGCCATTCCATGGATAGAAATAATTTGTTTAATTAATATACATTCTCTCCAATATCCATATTCGTTGATTTAATTCTCTTAAATATTAAATAGAGTTGACCAAACAGGGAAGTCAGAGTAGTTTACACAAATTTTAAGTTCAAATTAATTTATTGCTATTATTGTAATTCTTAAAAATTAAAAAAAAATTCTCTTAAACATTTTGAAAAAAAATTTGATTCATTAATACTCACATAAAAAGGTATTTAATTCATATTCCTGTGTACTTATTTAAAAAACAGAAATAAAATAATAAATGATTAATAATTAAAGAGTATAAGCAGTTTTTGAATTATTATAATTGTAAAGATGATTTTATAAAATGGAAAGAGATAATAGTTTGAGAGATAGTAATAAACACATAGTTTTAAGAAACAGTAATCAAGTAAAAATTGTATATAAAAAAAAATGTGTAGACCCTCTATTAATAGTATAGGTACAATATTTTTACATGATTTGTCTTAGTTGTATTTGGATTTTTTCGGTACTTGATTATAACTACTCAACCGCCTTGGACAATGTTGTAACACTCTTTAAAAAGCAAAACTATAAGTGCAATAAACTGAGAAAAAAGTTTTCTTTATACGGATTTCTATATCTCAATTATTGCACCATAGAAAAAATACACACTCAATTTTATCAGTTTAAATTAGTTTCAATCTCCTTAATAAGAACACGAAGGAAAATTTAATGAAATTCCAAATAATATAAAATGACAAGTTGCAGAGGGATATTTCCTATCTTATTAGCGATTTCCAGCCTGTAAGTTGATTATGAGCAAGACAAGCTATTTTCAAGAAAATGATGCATGCTAGTAGTAGCTAGATACTCTGACAGAGAAAAAATAAATAGAAAATAAAAGATAAAAATGACATATAATATAATGTTACAAGAAAAATAAAAATAAAAAATATTAATAAAGTGTTTATAATGTTGACATATCTAAATATAATTACTCATCAAATATTTGAAATCAAATAAAATATATAAGTGATTATTCCCGTGCTCATTAACGAAATTATGACTTGTATATCACATTGTTGCACAAATATAATGATAATATAATATTTTTATTTCAAACTTTATTGTTACTAAGATAAATAATATATTTTTATTTATCAAAATTATATTTATAATATTATAATTAAAAAAATGTCAATGTCAGTCACTCATATAAAATAATATGATAAAATATAGGTATAGGAAGAATCTATTTATTATTTAGATGATAGATTTATTTTATTTAATGATTCATATTTTATATCAAATTTTAACAATTTAATTATTAAATTAATTTTTTTAATTTATACATAGTTTATAAATTTTTTTAAAAAAATTATTTGATATTTTGTTTTATTAATTCAAATAGACGTATAAAATATTTTATAATTATTTATCAATTTAAATTATTAAAATAGATTGAAGTATCAAATATTTTTAAAAATTTTTAAAGTTTTGAGAAATTTAATTTATACATTAAAATTTTTTAATTTAATAATTAAATTATTAAAATTTAATATAAAATATAAATTATTAAGCAAAATAAATTTAAATAAAATTATTTTTAAAATAAGTGAATCATTGCTTTAATTGAAAAAGAAAATTACAATAGAATAAGTTTATATTTGATAATCATTGCAAAGAGATTTTTCAAGAAAATGTCGAGGTAAAAAGATCATATTTTTAACATTCATATGGGCCTGAAGCAAATTAATTATCATGCAGATCTGAAAAACAAAGTGATGAAATCGTCATATACATAATAATGTTAGGCATGGTCGTATAAAGGATAGATTCATTTATGAAATTTCACTATTTTTTTTTATATTCGAGAAAAATAGTTAATGAATTAGATAAAAGCTGAAAAGTTAACCAAACGTTCAAAAACTAATTTTTTTTTATTAAAAACTATTAGTTGAAAACTACTTTTTTTTTTGTACGTATTAGTTGAAAACAATTAACTTAACTTATTACATTGTATATTTAGTAAAATTAAATAAAATTATTTTTAAAATAAGTGAATCTTTTCTTTCATAAATATATATATATATATATATATATATATATATGTGTATAATAAGATATATGCAACATATTAGATACGATATATAAGAATAAAACACACTAACAACAAATTTCATGATTAATTTTCACACAAAAAATAAAAAAGAACTTGATTGGTTAAATGATTTGCATCTATGGAAGAGAAGAGAAATCGTGAATAAAATACTCATATTTTGAACAGCACAAGCACATGGCTCGTTGCCGCCGGTTTACACGTTGCAGGCAACGAGACTATTTGTGGCCGGTGGATAACGAAGTCACATCCTTACGGAATTCTACACTTCGGTCCCCCACCTTGGGAAAATGTTTTTTTCGTAACAAACGAGATCGCATTCTTATCGAACTTCCTTTTTCTTGTTTTGTCTTATGTTTTTTTAATTAGTAGCAAAATTAATATCATGTATTATATATTTTTATTTATATAAATATTGTTAAATTTAAATATATAAATTTAAAATAATAAGTTAACAATAATAATTTTAGCAACTCGTCATGATCTTTATATTGTATGGCACAACAATTATCTTAAAATCATAAATTAGAATAAGTACAACATCGTATATAATAGTCATGTATATGTAGATATAAATAGATACAACTAAGTTGTCAACCAAGCAACTATAACTGTCTACATAAAAATTTACCTCTAATAAGTAGTCAACAAAACATCCAACTCTAAACGCCACTATATATGTGACCTTCACTACGACATTCTAATCTTATCCTTGTCTTGCTCATATATCATGTATGATCATCGCCGTCCAAATCATATGAAAACATGCAATGGTAAGCTAGGAAAAAGAAACAGCACACACACACATATACATATATACACACACACACAACCTAGGAACATCACAACATCATCACATCTTTGACAACACAACAACAAAGCATTACAATATACAACACAAATCAACATAGTCCAACTTTTAGTCAACACAATAACACAATTCAATGTACATGAACAATACAATCATTTCAACATATCATATGCTCAACATAGCAACTATATGCGTCATTACACATTTCAATTAGAAGATCTCCTACAACACAAGGTGAGTAATTTAAGTGGTTTGATCCTACCGAACCAACAACATAGGGTAATCTTTTTGGGCTTGCTAGATCAACAACAAATTTGATATAAATCCATAACACAATAACTCAATTTCTCAGATGTCACCACTTAAACAAGGAAGTACAATACTAATGTCATAATAGAACAGTTGGGTACATACAGGCCTACCAGGGCATTAGCTAGCTTAACTAAGTCTCCTATGTGATTAGCCCACCGACTATCGTCCAAATACTATAACTTTTCGATACTTGGTTATGAACTAAGTTCTCGACTTTGTACTTTACTTGGTTGGTTACTAGTAATTAGTATAGCTCAACCTGACCCCTATATTGTGGTTGTTTCATACACATGTGTCTTGACCTTGTCCACACACAGTACCAACAAAGTCCTAGAGGAGAAACAAAACAGTATCCACTTTAAGAGTCAATTTCCCAATAAGGGTTTTTCAACAAATTGGACTCTAAGAGCACCACAACACAATATCCACACAATGGGATATGCAAATTTTGAAAATATCTCCTCTAATCCTAAGTGGTCAACATAGCTCAACAACACAACTCAGCAACACAGATCAACAACACAGCTCAACAACATAACAACTCATTATAATTTTCAACACAACTCAATCAACACACAACTTTTCAACTCATATCACCATCGTCACAATTTATTTACAACATTATGATCAACATGCATCTCAACAACACATCAACATCGTTCATATAGAATCCTAACATAGCCACACAACTTCACAACATATTAACCTCATTTTCAACTTTACATCATGTCAACTTAAACAACATATATCTTTAAAACACTCACATCTTAAGAAAACAACAACATAAATCAACTCAAACAACTAAAACAACTTTAAAGAAGAGGTCAGGTTTTAATTCCCTCATCTATCATGTTAAAAATTGCAAAAATCGCAACAGTTTACCTAAATGCTGACAATTTAACCTTTGCTCACTAAAAATGTCATAATTGGAGTTATAGACATAATTTTTAGGTGATTCTAACACCA